TCTGAAGAAAACATCCCGTTTATTAAGCAGTTGGTGTCTGATGAGTACCAAGCCCAGTTAGCAAGTAAACGGAACCCCCTGAAGGATGAGCCGTGGCCTATACATCCTTGGGAACCAGGTGCTTATTTTGAGTTTGACGAGGTTTTTGTCCTGTTGGGAGTATGGTGTATGATAACGCAAGGTTTAGTCTCTATTAATAATAAATTATTCACTAATTTATTATCTATTAATAACCTAAGGTTTATTGTCTATTATCTATTGTTTGTAGGGTCACTATGTGTCATAGTCGACTCAGTGGCACTTATCAATAACAATTATTGCGTGGCTGTGCATATTTAAAACTATGGGGAGATGGTTTAATAAATTTATCATCTCAAGAATTCTCTTTTTTTTGTAGTTTTGTGTCCTTTTAATAAACATATTTGCATAGTTCTATTACAATTTGGTAAAAATAAAAACAAATTACCTCATGCCAAGCGTGCCCAGCATTTGCACAATCAATCAATACTTTTAAAACTAGTTTTTAAGACACACAAAATAAAATTTTAAGGCAAAAAACAGCACTTTGCAACAATTTAATAATTTATTAAGGAATTTCATTCTTATGTCTTAAGTATATCTGCTGTGTTCTTGTATGATTTGCAAGCTTATTTTTAGTGCCCAGCAACTTGGACTGCTGTTTGGAAGGTCAGCCGTCTGAACCGGCCAGTGACTGGGAGAAAGATGAGCAGCTCCCTCCCCCAGTGGCCCACAGCTGTGGTGACCCAGGGGAGCGGCGCTCAGAGTCAGGAGTGACCTTCTGCCAGTGGGTTTATTTGGTTTCGGTTTTGGTACCGCATGTCTAATAGTAATAGAAAGTGTTTTGTAGATGCAAAGACAGTCACTTTGTATCCATGTTCCTCCTCCAGATTAAAAAGGCTCCGAGCTAGGTCAGGGGGAGGATGTGCAGTATGATCTGAATTGTACGCTGTGGGGCAGAAGTCTGACTGGGATGTCCCAGCACGGCACATTTGCCTCGCTTAATCCCGGCGTCAGCTTCATGGCTGGCGGCTTGTAATTCCACGTGAGGCTGGGTGTGAAAGGGCCCGCCTTGCTGAGCGTGTGGTCTCTGACTTGGGTTTACTGGGGGCGGTAGAGGGTGGTGCAGGGGAGGTGGGGTTCCGATCTGTTGTGCATAGAGTCGTGAGTCGTAAAGACTCAGCTACACCTGAGAACAGCAGTGACAGGTGAAGGGCGTGACGGCCAAAAGGCCTTGGCAGACCAACGTTATCGACCTGTGCAGCGACTTAGCATCAGGTGGAGGGGGACATGTTAGGCTTTCTCGTTGCTCCAGCAGACGCCTTCACATTTGAGAGGCGGATGTTCTGCAATGAACGTGAATTGCTCCTGGAAAGGGATAATAATGCCTTTAGCTGCTCTCTTCCTGTTTTCAAATTAATATTGTTTTTGTTGTTGTGACCGTCAAGTCAAACTGATCCATAGCTGACCTGGCCAATTCAGAGTTGACCCTCTGAGGTTTTCAGAGGCAGTAAGTTGCATGGGTGGAGATTGCCCATCCTTGTCCCGCTGACCATCTGGTGGATTCAAACCGCATGCCATCAGGATTATAGGGCAGCTTCTTACCACTAGGCCACCAGAGCTCCTGAACGTGAATGTAGCAGTGCGTTTATTGTTTACATCTCTCTTAGAGTTCCTCATGTTCTAGACTTGCTGGCCACCGTGCATTAGGTCAGGCACGGGTCAAGGCACGTAAGTCATCTGAATGGTGGCTCACTCCATGTAAGCCACCATTCTTCTGGTCTACCAGTTGCTTGTACTAAAATGGCTTCTAGGAAGGATTTGCAAGAAACATTGCTCTTACTGGAGATGTTGAAGGAGTTCTTGTTAACATTGTTTTCTCTTGATTGCCAGGTTCTGTTCGAGTTGGCCTGATTGCACTGAAGCTGGGCATGATGCCCTTGTGGACCAAGGACGGTAAAGAGCATGTGGTCACGTTACTGCA